TCTAAACCACTGAAGCTATGGATCCCAGATCTTCTCCTGATCTTATAACCTTGGTCCATTCCACTCCCCTCCCTACACATTCTTTCCCTTCCATGAACTATCCACATTATGACCGTTCACACTACATGACTTGTAACGTTCCTTTCAATCTGGACAGTCATGGACCCTCACACTGCAGACCCCAGGTAGAATGGTTTCTTTTCCCTTCATTTTTTTCAGTCCTTCATAACTGGAAGGGAGTTTAGAGATCACTTATTTCAAGATGTTCCTTTTACAGACGATGCAGGTGAGCCCCAGGGGGGTGAAGGATCATGGCACTAGAGCTCCCAAGAACTCCACTGGCTCCTCGGGCCCAAGCTCCCCCGCAAAGAAGCTGAGGAAAAGGAGACAAAGAAGGAGGAGGGAGTTACCCATGGACACAAGAAGCAAGACATCAGCAGCCTTCCCGAGCAGACTTCTGGGGATCCAGACACCGATGAATTGTTTTAGGACAGAATCTAGGACCCTCTTCCTAAGGGAGCACGTCATCCCTTTCCCACGACTGCCGGATCTGAATGATCAGGACTCTCTCCTTCATCCTTCATCCTTCCCAGGACGGCTCAGGATTGTACTCAGTCCTACCAGGTTGCCTTCTTGCCCTTGTTTCCTTAGGAGAATTATCAAATCAGGTATCAAATTTCTCTCATATTTGTTTCTCGTGTTTTCCATGTCAAAATCACATTGAAATTCCACCATTTTCATGACAGTTCAAAGTTTAATGGCAGTTCCCATTGCTCTCCCACTTCAAGGACTGGGGCGGGGGTTGGGGAGAAATAGGCATTTTTTAAGGACCTACCAAGTGACAGGCACTTTACAAATATTATCTCATTTAATCCTCACAAAAACCCTTACAGGTAGGTGCTATTATCATCCCCATTTTACATATGAGGCAACTAAGGCAGAGGTTAAGTGACCGGCCACGGGTCACACAGCAAGTACACAGGTAAGGGCAGATCTCCAGTGCTGTCTCAACTGTGTTATCAAACTACCCTAGGATGGCATGCCATGTGCTTTTTTTGTCATGGATTTAAAGGTAAAGGGATCCCTGTGAGCATGCTCCTATGAATATGGTCATCTCTCCCTTTACAGAGGAGAGGACTGAGGCTAAGAGAGGGACAGTGAATGACCCAGGTTCAGGCCAAGGGTCCAGGTCCCCAGACATCAGTTCCAAGGTACTTTCCCTTACTCCACACTAGAGGTAAGCCCATAAAGTCTTTTCCCCAAACTCCCTCTCATCAGGTAGGTACCCCAGATGAGGACACTGAGCCACAGACAGGTTTACACTCCATTGTCCCATGGATTGTTCATTGGATCACCGAGGTCCTCCTGACTTTCTGACCCTGGTCCAAACAGGCCCCAGAGTCAGGAAGAGTGGCTGAGTTAATCAACCTATATATACTAGACCCAGTGCTATCCTTGGGAGACAACAACAGAAAGGCATCCAACTTTAGTGTCCTTTCTACTACAGGGTGGAGTTGAAGGGAGGGGCAATGTGAAATTTATGCAGGTAAGTAAAAGGCCAGATGCAGAAACAATGCCCAGTGATTTCAAGTGGAGGGAGAAGGCGCTGCTACTGACATAATCTGGGAAGGGACCTTTCAGGAGGTGGACTGAAGGAAGGACTGTGAAGAGTTGGACCTCAAGAGACCAAGGCTCTAAGCACAGGAGACACAAAGCCAGGAGAGGAAATGTAATGAATGGAAAGCCACAAGTTGGCCATTTTGGCTGGGACACAGAATAAGTGAAGGGGAATCAGGTAAAAACCAGCCTGGAATGACAGGTAGGAGGCAGAGTATAATGGCTTCAAATGACCAGGTTAAAAGAATTTTGGTTTATCATGAAAACAGCATCAAACCACTGGGCCTCCTAGAGAAGAGAACTGATATAGTCAGAACTGGGTCCCCCGAAGGGAACCTAGGAGAGAAGGCTAAATGTAGCAAGGGCTGTTCCCCAGTATCATTGCGCAGCTCAAAGGAAGGCAGAATAGACACATCTAGCCTCTTCTTCTCCAACTTTTCTCCAAGAGAGACTTTAATTTTAATTTAATTTAATCCTTTAAGTAGGTAAGTAGGAGGTTGGGGTCAGAGGCCCCTACTCTGTTGTCCTCAGAGAAAGGTGGTACCAGGCTAGTACTACATGTTTCTGCTTTCTGAAATACTGTTATTCTAGGGAATGTGGTTTTGAGGTTCAAAGCAACATCTGATCACTATTTTCATTAACCGGGGAGGCGGGGCAAGCAGGACCCCAAGCTTTATATCTAAGGCTTTATTCCCTTTGCAACCAACTACCAGTTCAACAACACACAAAGTAAATAGCAAAGAAACCCATTTATCCATGTGGGTCAAACAGAAATTAGAGAAAGTATAACACACAGGAACATATACCAGACAATACAAAGCGAAGGAGCTCCCCCACGGGGAGCGAGGTAATTCAGTTCAGTCGAGAGACAGAGTCCTGGATCTCGCCCAAGGGGAAGCGCCCCGAGGTCTCTAATGGAGCCACTGGGGACTCATTTCAGTTTCTTCTCACAGTCTTCTCCCTCAGCAGCCAGAAGTGGGCTTTGGCATCAACCATCTTCTCTCTCAAGCCTGGGAGCCAGGGGCACCCAAAGCAGTAACAGAATGAAAAGCACTCAAAGGACCCCCATGAGCCTGAAGAGACTGCTGAAAAGCCTTGAAGCAGCTCCAGAGAGGGTCAATCTCTCTTCTCACCCTCCCTCACCAACTCTGCCACTTCTTACACAGGCAGGAGCATTGATCTGTTCCATCAAAGAGGTGAGAGGCCTGCATGAAATGGGCTTTGCCAGTGTCATATGTGGCCCATCTGGGATGGAACTGGGCCCTTTGCTTTTGCTGGGAGACCTAGAGAGATTCTATGCCCAGGACATTTGATTTTTGAGATACCCGAGACTCTGAGATACTAGAGAAATATGGCATTTTTTGTAGGCTCTAAATTTACAGGTTCCCCAACCATGATCATTAGCTCACATGGAAGTTCCATTGATTTTATCTTGCACACTTTCCTTTGTTGATTCCTCTACTATATAAGATACTTGTTGTGTTACTGAATTCTGTGTAAGGACTGGTATACATATCAGTACCTATCTCTTCTCCAAACTTCTCTTCCTGAGAATACCCCAAAGTCCAGGAGCTGGGGTCACTCCTGCTTTCAAATAGAAAGAATCAAAGGCTTTCCTTCAGAATTGCCAATCCCCATGTGAGATTCAGCAATTCGACAACCATTTGCCTTAACGTATTTGTAATAAAATCAACATGTATCCTTAAAAACAGGCTGATTTGGCTGTGTTTCCATCAGGACTTTATTCCCTTCTATGCTTGAAAAATGCTTCAATGACCCACTCTTCTTTAACTCCATGATTGGACATTTCTTCCAGTTACTTAAATAAAGTAAAAAATGGAGGGATTCCATTCTCTCTAATTCCTTTGTCATCTATCAGTTTTGTTACCAGTCACAAATCAAACATCAGGCTGGTGACCTTCTGACACCTCGTATTCCAGAATTCCCAGATGGTCTCTCTACCTCCCGGGGCTTGAGTTATATACATTGCTCCACCGCTGACCCCTTACATGCTTCCTCATTCTCCTCCTTTCCTTGACTGCTGGGTCCAGAGCCAGGCCATCTGTGAGGGTGCTTTCTCTCAAAACCCTGTTCAGTCACATCTGCTTGGCTCCAGTTTCCTCTCTCAAGGCTCAGAAAATGGGACACATAAGGGACATTTTATGTTAGTGACATAGAGATTAGGACTGAGATCACAGAATCAACTCTACCAGAGAACATTCCAGGAGAAGAATCACCCAGAAATCAGCCACACTGCACAGCAGGGCATGACTGACTGTTTTGTTGACTGTTACAATGACAGAGAACATGTTAATAAGGCAGTCTGAACTTAAAAGTGTGTCCCACCTATTTTTCTTTTTCACAGAGAGCTGGTTGTTAAACTTACCAGCACACCAGCACCTTTCAACAAGGTTCTTACATAAGGGAGGTTGGGGAGGGGTTGCTATGGGTTACTAGAACAGAGAAAAGATTTGGAACAGCTGCTCTAAGTGGGTCAGAGAACCTACAGAGAGGATGTGATAAAAGAAAAATCAACCAGCATCCCTGCAATGTGGGCTGGGATAGTTCTTTGACTGAAGAGGTATGGAAACTCTCCTTGGGACCTGCTTGTCTCTGGGGACTAAGACAAAGGCTGTTGAGCTGGCTTCTTAATAGTGTAAGTCAAAAAGGAGTCCAGTAACTCTAGTTCCTCCCCTCCCTGAGGCTGGACTGGCAGACCACTAGGGGAAACAGGCAGGGATGCTTCACTCAGCTGAGCCCCAGGGTTTAGAGTTGGGCCTTCAGGGGCAATCCAGTCCAATAGCTCCACTTCACAGATGGGAAAACTGAGCACGAGAGAGGTGAAGAGATTTGTCCATGTGAAAGATGGTATTCAAACTCAGGAGTTCCAGTGGGACATTCTTTTAAATTTCTATTTGTATTTTGTTTTTCATTTTAATTTATTTGTTTGGAGACTGGGTCTCCCTGGCTCATTTAGGCTGGAAGGACAGTAGTCACTCATGGGCCAGATCTGAATATTAATTGGCCACAGAGTCTGATCTTGCTCCATTTTACCAACCTAGGCTAGGTTATCCCTCCTTAGGAAGCCCTCTGCTCAGAGGGGCTCACCCTGTTTATGCTGAACTGAATGTGAACACACCCGATAAGCTAGCTTTACCCTACCCCAAAAGCAGGGATTGCAGTTGTGTGCCATCAAGATTGGCTTTAACTTTATTTTGACTATAAGATCTAAATTAGATGATAAGTTCCTTGAAGACAAGGACTATCTTTTGCTTCTTTTTGTATCCCCAGCACTTAGTACAGTGCCCAGCACGTAGTAGGTGCTTTAAAAAAAGTTTACTGATTAATATTTCTGCCACATTTTAAAATTTTATTATGCATCATATATATCTTGCAAATACAATGATTTCAAAATACAAATATTGTCCACTTAAAATGCTTTTGCATTTCACTTTTTTCAATAAACCTTTCCAATTCATACCATTATCAGTGCTACCCCATTAAATGACAGTACACTGAAATACATTTTTTTTAAAATAACAAGATAAAGAATGCCCTCTTTGGCAGTGTGGTTCATTACCTGAATTTAATTCAGAGCAATACCACTGTACAATAATAAATTGTATTGAAATAAATGTCGCATATTAGAGCACAAACACCTATTGTTTTTTATTACTTCCTTAAAAAAATTAATTTATCCTTCCCACTACCTCTATTTTTTTCCCCAATCCAGTCAAGCAAATTGAATACAATACAGAAAATAAAGTCCTCCACAGACAGCTGAGTACATGGGTAAAATTAATACACACATTGGCCACATCCCAAAACAAAACATGTCTTTTTCTAAATCATAAGTTCATCACCACCTCTCTGCCAAGAGCTGAATGGTGTATTTCCTCTCTCTCTTCTGGACTGGTGATTGATTACTGCAGCCATCAGTTTGAAAGTCTGTCTAAGTTGTTTTTCTAAATGATGCTATCATTATAGAAATCGTTCTCCAAGCTCCATTTAATTTCTTCTGCATCAGTCTTATAAGTCTTCCCAGTTTCCTTTAAAAGATTCCACTTCATCATTTCTCATGGCATAACAATATTGCTTTCTCCAACAGGAAGGAAGACACTTTTAGTCTCTAATTTGTCCCACAATAAACAGAGCTAATAAAAACAAGTTGGCACATCAAAGTCTCCTTTCTTTTTCTTTTATTTCTTTGAGATATAGACCTACTAGATGACATTATTCACTTAGAGTGAGCCACCTCTCTATGGAGATGAAGAAGTAAATTGCCACATCAACGTGGTATACTCAAAGAATACAGCCTTGTTAAATATCTTTTCCATGCTATAGATAAGCAAATGAGTTGGGTTAACAGGCAGATCTTCTATAAGTGATTCATTCAGCAACTCCATACATAGGTAAAGTCTTGTGTATTAACTTGACATTATGTTTTATTTGGGGGACTGACAGTGATCTCAAGGGCCACCAGGTAAACACTGCACCACATTTCTCATTGCCAAGACGCTAATATGTTGAGATTGTATTTTAAAATTGTGCTCAATGACCTGTTTGGGACAATTTACGTTTGGGGATCCACGGGGAACTAAGCCATATTAATAAACATTTATTAAGCAGCTAATATAAGCCAGGCATCGTGCTAAGCATTGAGGACACAAAGAAAGGTCGAAAAAAAAGTCCCTGCCTCAAGGAGCTCACAATCTAATGAGGGAAGACAAACTACACAAAGAAGCTGAAATGTGGGAAGGTACTGGTGGGAACATGATGAAGCCCTACAGACAGGTGGGAAATGGCAAGGTGCCAACCCTGAGCCCCATGAGCTCTTAATATATTTGTCATTTGTTCATTCATGGTAATTTACAGGATAGGATTGACCTGCCACACAAGACTCTCCTATATTCATTGTATTTAAAATGTGGCCCAATGGATGGAGTGCTAAATCTGGCCTCATATACTTGCTATGCGACTGTAGGCAAGTCACTTAACTTCCCCATCTGGAAACTGGCAATAATACTAGCACCTACCTACCTTACAAGGTTGTTGTAAGGATCAAATGAGATAAGCTAGCTACGGAAAGCTTTCTGTCAACCCTAAAGGCCACAGAGAAATATTAGCTCTCATCACTGGGTTGTTTTTTTTTTCAGTATTAACTAGATGGTGAACAAAGTGTGAGGAGCTATTCAATGTTATCTCTGGTTCTTGGCTCTTATAAGGCTATTCTCCAGTATGAATTCTTTGATAGGAAATGATACAGAACAGGTCCTATAGTCATTATAACTATAAGGCTTTGCAGCAGTACAAATCATACAGTCTTTAACAAGGTCTGGAACCATGAATGAAGACTTTACCACTTTCATTTCTTTCTAAGAGTTCTGTGAAGTATGAATCATCTGGTGTTCATTAAGTTGGGAACACTAACTAAAGGTTTCCTGCATTGATTACATTCAAAATTCTTTTCTCCAGTATGCGTCCTTGGAAATACATTAGGATCTTGGAATAAAGGATTTCAGTATGCTGCTAATGTGTTTCTTCAGAATGAGTCTTCTGATGGCTAATAAGTACTGAGTTCTGAGTAAATGCTTTCCCACATACCTTACATTTATAAGACTTTTCTTTAGTATGAATACGCTGATGCTGGAAAACACCTGAAAACTTTTTGAATGCTTTCCCACATTCATTACATTTATATGGTTTCCCTCCAGAATGGGTCTTTCGATGCTTAATAAGGTTTGAATCATGATTGAAGCCTTTCCCACATTCCTTACATTTATAAGGCTTCTCTCCAGTATGTGTATTCAGATGTTTTTTTAAGTGGAATCGCTGAGTGAAGGCTTTCTCACATTCCTTACATTTATAAGGCTTCTCTCCAGTATGAATCTTCTGATGTCGAATAAGGTTTGAGCTCTGTTTAAAGGCTTTCCCACATTCCTTACATTTATAAGGATTCTCTCCAGTATGAATCCTCTGGTGCTTAACAAGGCCTGAGCCATGACTGAAGGTTTTCCCACATTCATTACATGTATATGGCTTCTCTCCAGTATGAATCATCTGATGTACAATCAAGTTTAAGCTCCGAGTGAAGGCTTTCCCACACTCATTACATGTATAAGGCTTTTCTCCAGTGTGAATCCTCTGATGTACAATAAGAGCTGAACTCTCAATGAAACCTCTCCCACATTCACTACATTTGTAAGGCTTCTCTCCAGTATGGATCATCTGATGGGCAATAAGACTTGAGCTCAGAATAAAGGCTTTCCCACATTCGTTACATTTATAAGGCTTCTCTCCACTGTGGATCCTCTGATGCTTAACAAGAACTGAGCTCTGACTAAAGGCTTTCCCACATTCATTACATTTATAAGGCTTCTCTCCAGTATGGATCCTTTGGTGCCTAACAAGGTCTGAGATGTGACTGAAGCTTTTCCCACACTCATTACATTTATAAGGCTTCTCTCCAGTATGAATCATTTGATGTGAAATAAGATTTGAGCTCTGCCTAAAGGCTTTCCCACATTCATTACATGTATAAGGCTTCTCTCCAGTATGGATCCTCTGGTGCTTAACAAGGGCTGAACTCTGACTGAAGGCTTTCCCACATTCATTACATTTATATGGTTTCCCTCCAGTATGAATCCTTCGGTGCTTAATAAGGTTTGAGCCATGACTGAAGCCTTTCCCGCATTCTTTACATTTATGAGGCTTCTCTCCAGTATGTGTATTCAAATGTTGGGTTAGGTGGGACCTCTGAGAAAAAGCTTTCCCACATTCATTACATTTATAAGGCTTCTCTCTCTTATGAATCTGTTGATGTAAAACAAGGCTTGTGTGTTGAGGAAAGGTTTTCCCACATTCGTTACATTTATAAACTTTCACTCTAGTATGGATCTTCTGATGTTTAGTGAGCTTTGAGAATTGAGGAAAGCCTTTCCCACATTCATTACATTTATAAGGCTTGTCTCCAGTATGAATCATTTGATGTGCAGTAAGACTTGAGCCCCGAATAAAGGCTTTCCCACATTCATTACATTTATAAGGCTTCTCTCCACTATGGATCCTCTGGTGCTTAACAACATCTGAGCTCTGACTAAAGGCTCTTCCACATTCATTACATTTATAAGGTTTTTCTCCAGTATGGATCCTCTGGTGCCTAACAACATCTGAACTCTGCCTGAAGGCTTTCCCACATTCATTACATTTATAAGGCTTCTCTCCAGTATGAATCTTCCTATGCTTGACGAGGCCTGAATTGTAAATGAAAGCTTTCCCACATTCATCACATTTATATGGCTTCTCTCCAGTATGTATCTTTTGATGAAAAAGAAGGGTAGAATTTTGAGTAAATGTTTTTCCACATTCGTTACATTTATAAACCTTCACTCTAGTATGGCTCTTCTGATGTTGAGTGAGCTTTGAAAAACTAGGGAAGGCTTTCCCGCAATCATTACATTTATAAGGCTTCTCTTTAGTATGGATCCTCTGGTGCCTAACACAATCTGAACTCTGCCTGAAGGCTTTCCCACATTCATTACATTTATAAGGCTTCTCTCCAGTATGAATCTTCTGATGCTTAATGAGGCTTGAATTGTAAATGAAGGCTTTTCCACATTCACCACACTTATATGGCTTCTCTCCAGTATGCATCCTTTGATGTAGAAGAAGGACTGAGTTTTGAGTAAATGTTTTCCCACATTCATTACATTTATAAACCTTCCCTCTAGCACGGATCTTCTGATGTTGAGTGAGCCTTGAAAATCGAGGGAAGGCTTTACCATATTCCTTACATTTATAAGGCTTTTTTCCCATGTGAATCTTCTTGTGCTTAACAAAGGCTGGGCCATGATTGAAGCCACATTCTTTACACTTATAAAATTTCTTTCCAGTTGGAATCTTCTGACGTTTAATCATTCTTACCTCACTTTCCTGCTTTACTGGCTGCTGCTTTTCCAGGTTCTCACCTTCCCCAAATTCCCCAAGCGTAGAGTTACAAAAGTCTGCCCCTTTGAGTCTCTCAACTTTCACCAATGAGGATGATTCTTCACCTATTATGATTTCCTTTGGAGTTGCCTCTTTGTTTTTAGTCCTAGGTTCCAAGTCTGAAAGAGATTGATAGAAAGTTTGAATGTTCCCAGTTCTTAGAGCTGGGAGAAAGGAAACTGGGGGTGGGGTAATGCACATGTACGTTGTACCCAGATGCAAGAGCCACCTGGTATTGAGCGCCATCAAACCTGACCTGACAATCTGTGGAGCCAATGGGCAAAGGCAAAAGAGAGCTAGTGAGGAAGCCATTTAAAGAGGTGGAAGGGGGACTAATGTCCTTGTAAAGTGAGCACAGACAATGAAGAACACCAACTAGTCAGATTGGAGTTGGAATACTAGATCAGAATACTGGTAACAAAGAGGTAAAGGCAGCTGAGTGGCGTAGTGGATAGAGTGCTGGGCTTGGAGTCAGGAAAACTCATCTTCCTGAGTTCAAATATGGCCTCAGACACTTACTAGCTGTGCAACCCTTAGCACGTCACTCAATTTGTCTCAGTCTTCATCTGTAAAAGGAATTGGAGAAGGGAATGGCAACCCACTCTAGTATCTTTGCCACAAAAAACCCAAATGGGTTCACAAAGAGTCAGAAACAACTGAAACGAATGAACAACAACAGGGGGAAAAAAAGAGAGGTGAGTGGCAAAAGATGGAGAGAAAATATCAGGAGGAGAGCAGGAATGAGGGGAGACTATCTGGAGTTTGAACCCAAGTCCTAATCACCTCAAAATTAAGACTCTAATATGACACTAAGAGAAGGCAGCAACATTGTACTACAGAAGGAACTCTTCCTTGAAGTTGAGGTCAGATCCCAGCCCTTACTTGCTATCTCTGTGATGGTGGGCAAATGCTTGATCTCTTTTGGCCTTAGGTTTCCTTATCTGCAAAAGGAGGATATTGGGAAAGATCTCTCACTCTGTCATTGGGACCCACAGGTTCTAATTAACCACCATCATCATATGAAGCATGATGATGGGGCTGGACATTTTGCTAAGTGCTTTCCATACATCACATCACTGAATCTTCATAAATCAACAAGACAAAGCTATAAAAGGGCATGTTATTTATATTTACAGATGAGCAAATGAGGTTCAGAGTATCTTGCCCAAGGTCAACAATGAAGTGACTAATAGCACACACTTAGGTGATGCTTTCAGTCCACAAAGCACTCAGACCATTCCAGGGTTGAGATGGTCATTAGGATTCACCCCAATTTGCAAGTAACCCTTCTCTGAACCATCCCTCCTGCAATCTGGAACCAGTTTTCCCTGAGCCATTTCTGGATCTTTGGGTACCAAAGAGAAACAGAAGTGTGGCAGCAGGGCCCCAGGCGAATGTGGCATGGGCCAGTTGCCAGGGATCATTGCTCTCTTTGGGGGCTCTCTTGGGATTCATTCTTGTTCAACAGCTATTCCAGTAACATGTGCTCTTAATTATTGAGCAGGGTAATGGAACAGCAAAGTGAACAACCTAGCTTTCTAGAAGGCTGGCTACCTACTGGGACACTGAGGGGGAGAGTAAAGAAAGAAAAGAGAAGAGGACAGAGGACTGAACTCTGAGGGAGGCTCTCAATAAGCTGTCATGACATTGACGACAAAGTTCAGTTCAAGAGACTGAGGAGTGGTGTGCCAGGTAGGAAGAGGACCAAAAGAGAAACATGTCACAAAAACAGAGGAGAGTGAGCTCAACCACAGCAAATCCTGCAGAGACGTTAAGAAAAGTGAGAACTGAGAAAGAGTCATTTGATTTGTCAATGAAGAGATCACTGGTAACTTTAGAGCAGAGAGCCAGACTCAAAGGGTTTTGAAGGGACTTCAGATGCCATCCAATCTAGAACACACAAGAAGAGTCTACAGTGCCACATATCCAATATGGGGCAATCCAGCCTGGAAATGAAGACCCTGAAGGAAGGAGGGAGACTGCACCCCTTTTCAAGGAAGTCCATTCTACTTAGGACCAGCTATATTTCTTAGGCAATCTGCCCTGAAAGGAACCCTCTATTTGTCTTTTCTAAATTTCATGCCTTGTTCCAGGCACTGTCCACTGTGCCAAACAGAATCACCAGCCCTTCCAGGAAGTAAAGAGGATGATCAGCTCCTCAATTAGTTTTTTTTCCAGGCTATATATCCTTAGTTCTTTCAAATAATCCTCCCTGACTGAGACTCAGGGCTCTTCAGCATCCTGATATTCCTCTCATAACAAAACAGAAGGAAATGCTAAAAGTTAGCATTTACAAAGTCCTTTAAGGCTTGCTAGGCCCTTCAAAAATAACTCATCATCATCACTACAACCCTGAGAAGTGCCATTATTAGCCCATTTTAGAGATGAGGAGACAGCTGCAGACATGATAACTGTGGGGCCATCACCTCCATATTACTGTAAGCTATCTTTCTCAAATACAGTCAAAGGTAAAGATAGATTTTTGGGGCCACATCAAGCTGACGTGTGCTTTGAATCCCCTAGGATCACAAACTTTTTTGGGAAGAAACACTGTATAAAGCTGCTTCCCTCCACTGATTCCCTATTGCATTTCATCTTCTTACATACCAACCCCCATGACCTAGAACATCAAGATTCTTTGGGATCCTGCTAATTCAAAGAGCATACCATCACTGACGGATTTCTATAAAAGTGAATATGCTATGACCCACCCATTATGAAGTCATCCGAGCTCTGTGCGATACCTTCTTCCCTTTCTCCACGTTTTTAGAATCAGGATAGCACTTCCCCTTCACCAGTCTTATTCCCTCTTGCTTTCCATATTCTTTCCAATTCTACAGACAGGGGCTCAATAAGAACTCTCTCTCAAACCTTTTAAGACCCAAAGATATGGTTCATATGGGTAGAGTGACTTGAAGTCATCAAGGGCATCTAGGTGATCTCTTACTAATTCTTTTCTTCACTTTTCTTGGGTAGCAATTCCTTGTTAGCATTTCTGGTCTATCATTTCCAGTGTAAACATCATTCTCATTGCCCAGAAAACAGAAGGAAAGTGAAAATTAAGCAGCTCTACCTCCCCTTAATTTTCAGTTCTCATCATCACATCCATGCCAAGAAGAGGTTTTAGACTTTCTTTGAGCCTCATTTCCCTTCTCAATAGAGCTAAAGAAACAAATACCCACCCCCCAAATATGTTGCCCTTAGCTTCTCTGGCCAACCTCAGTTTATTCCAAGCTACAGAATCCCCTATACTATTTACCAATTTAATTAATTTTATTTGTGAAATTACCTAAAGAGGTACAATATTCAAGGTGTAGTCATAATACAATCCCCTCTTACTTGATATTTTATTCACTCAAGTTAATCCTATTTCACAGTTAAATCAAATCAAGCTTTAATATATCTCAGCTCTCAAAGTAGATTATTGTTTATTGACTATTTAATTGAGAAAATACTGAAAAAAGAATGAACAGGGAAAATATTATGTAGGCTATATATAATTCTAACCACATAAAAGCTATGAAAGCACTTTCAAAAAGTCAAAGAGAACTATACAAATGTGGGGAAGAAACAGTGGAATATAACCAATTCCCCTGTAAAATAAATCTTAAAAGAATTGTTTACATACAAGACCTTGCCTTCAAGTTTTGTATTTCTTCTGCTCTTACCTCAGTAAGAGTTCACCTATTGGCCAATGATATAAGTGCCTACACCTCTCTGAGAATCCTTATTTAAACCTAAATTAGGAGAATAGTTATTTGTGGATTAAAATCTTATTTAAATGACCATTACAATCCATTAGTAAAAGTCACTGGAGGTTGGTCTACTGAGAAAGAAGGTACCCAGTATGCCTATCAGGAACACACCTAAAGTGGGGGGGGGGGGGGGAGGAAGGGAGGGGATCATAAAGTAGGTAAAATGTTAAAATAAAATGGATCTAAATATTATACTGCCCTGTTTTTCATTTGAGAATCCCTAAATCTACTTCAGAAAAGAATGTTTAAATAATGTTTACATTTCATTTGAACAGACTCATTTTTCATTTAACAGCAAAAAAGTTGTCAGAAAACTACAAAATCTTAAACCCTAAGGGCTTAAATTAAAATGGTTGATCTGATATAGTTGGTTATGAACTCTTAGAATTCCTCTTGAGTTTCATCTCTGCTTCCCTTTCCTCCAAATGCACCTTTTAGAGCACCTGAAACTAATAGCGTACCAATACAGTGATCAGAAAATGGCTCGATACATTGTAGCACATGAACATAATGGAATATTATTACTGCGCCATGAAAAGCAAAATGAAGAATTCAGAGAAACCTAGGAAGACTTGTGAGTGAAAGCTGCAGAACCAGCAAAATAATATGCATAATGACAATGATGCCATTCCAAGCTTAGCCCCAGAAAGGAATTGAGAAAAATGTACCTCCCTCATTCCATAGAAGTGGTTGGAGATGATGGATGGTGAATGTTGCATATACTGTCAGACTCAGTCAATGTATTGGTTTCTGGACTATTGTTTTTCTTTTTCCATCTTTTTTTATAAGGAAATGTTACAGAAATGAGAAAGCAAGAAGGGTAGTTGGAAAATAAGGTAATTTTTTCATAATTTAAAAAATTGATAGCCTCCTCTATGGGTAAAAGCCCTTCTGAATTATCAATGTTTACACAAGTTTCAACAATTACCATGAAGTGTGATGAACCTAGCAAAAGCAGTATTACCAGGTTGAACAGCAAATGAGTTTATTTCCCATGGTATATATAAACTAAACATTAAAGGGAAAAAACTTATTAATAAACATATCATAATTTACACAATACACACATTTTACATTGCCTCTGTGGGGGACATACTGTTACAGACATTGAGATCATTCTTTGTTGGAAATTAAATCAATAAAATAAGCAATACGGTTAGATTTCCAAAAAAAAAAAAAAAAAAAAAAAACGGCAGCTCTGTACCAGGCATCTTCACAATCAAAAACCCTGCACTCTGGCTTTTCAAAATGTTCTTCCGTTATGTCATTAGCTTGACTAGCAGCAAAAACAAATTTTGGCACAGTTAACTCTTGAGGTCCAATGGACAAGCCTGACCAGCTAGAACAGTCAATTTGGAACATAT